TCACCAAACGAACAGTAGAATCTAGTTGTCATCATGAATCCAATTTGTTCCTTAGATGTAGAGGGTCCTCCTTACCCTGACTCCTGTCGGGAGAAGTTGATCAATTTTGTTGAGAGACCAGCTAATCCTTCGAATTAAGAGGAATGCAGGAAAAAAAAGACGCTTTTTAAGGGTTCACAGGACAAAAGAGCGCAGCAGGGAATCGGGTGGGGTGGGGTGTGGGTGGGGGGGGAACACGTCTGGTTTCACCGTAGAATAGCAGAAAAAAACAAACAAACACTGGGGCCTGAATGATCATTTCAGAGTTATAAACATCAGTGAAACGTGCGGCAGTGAAGTGGTTAATGGTCCGAGTCCTACGTGCAGGAATGCACGACTTAGGAGTTAGATGGGGGAGGATGAACTTGAACTGGACTGGCATGTGGTCTGAAAAAACATTATCACCAATAACAAGATTATTAACAGTCACATCATGAGTTAAAACAAGGTCTAGTGTGTGTCCACACTCTTGGGTGGGACCGTTTACATGCTGAGTTAAATTAAACGAGTCCAAACGATCTAAAACGTCTTTAACCAAGGGCTTTTCAGGACAGCACACGTGCAAATTAAAGTCCCCAATAATGAAAACATGCTCATATTTTGGTGTGATTTCAGCAAAGAAATCAGAAAACTCATTTATGAAATCCTTAGATCGAGGTGGGCAGTAGACGAGTGCAAATAAAGTCTGAGGTGAATGTCCGAGTTCAAAGATGCTCAGCTCAAAGCTGGCGCGGGAAACTGGGATGGGCAGTTGTTTACAGTCAAAAGTTGGTTTGAATATTGTTAACAATCCACCATCGCGCCGGCCTGATGACCGCGGTGCGTTAAAATATAAACAGTTCGGTGGCAATAATTCTGTCAAGGCGCTGGACTCACCCAGAGACATCCAAGTCTCTGTGATACAGAGAAAGTCCAAATTGTGCTGTTGAAAGTAATCCCTGAGGATAAAAGTTTTGTTGGTAACAGATCTTGCGTTGACCAAACACAACCGGATACTGTCCGAAGTGGAGCTAGCAGCGGTGGAGTTAGCGCTCGCTAATGGCCGCAGGTTTTCAATAACGGTCCCTCCAGGTCGGTCCGAGCTGCGCATCGGCTGACAACTCCCGTTGGTTACCTGGTCCAGGCACACAGGAGAGGAAGATGCAGCGCGCAGAGCTTTCAGCTTCACCAGCTGACCAGCAAGTTTTCCCCGGCGTCTGAAGCGATGTCTCTGGGCAGGTAGGTGAGGAGTGCAGTGAAGGTAAGCTGGCACGTCTGCCAGCAGGGGGAGAGGAGGGGGGGTCCAGAGGTACGCTCATATTGTTCCAAATAAGCAACTTCAGTGACAGAAAAACGAAGATCCAAAAGTTGTTGTCTGTCATACACCAGCAGAGTTGATGTCACAGATGTGAAATGCAAAAAACAAAAATAATCCGAACACCATCAGCAGAGGTGGATTGCAAGCATGTACACGGGCACCATCTTATCGGAAGTAAGTGTGTGGTGGTGTTACAGTCCATGTGTTGTTGTTGTGTGTATGAGAATACAGACCATTGTTGTTAATCAGATGTCAGGAGGCAGAGTTCAGGAGTGTGACAGCTGTGGGGAAGAAGCTGTTCCGGTACCTGGTGGTTTTAGTCCGGAGGCTCCTGTAGCGCCTCCCAGAGGGCAGGAGGGTGAAGAGTTTGTGTGCTGGGTGGCTGAAGTCTTTTATGATTTTTTTCCAGCCCTTTTCAGACACCGCTTCCTGTAGATGTCCTTTATGGCAGGAAGTGGTGCTTCGGTGATGTGTTGGGTGGCTTTCACCACCCTCTGCAGCGCCTTCCGGTCTGAGACAGAGCAGCTCCCGTACCAGACTGTGATGCAGTTGATCAGGATACTTTCAATGGTGCAGCAATAAAAGTTCACCAGGATGTCTGAGGACAGGTGGTTCTTCCTCAGAGTCCTCAGAAAGAAAAGGTGCTGGTGAGCTTTCTTGATCAGTTTGGAACAGCCGGTCGTCCAGGTGAGATCCTCGGAGATGTGGACACCCAGGAACTTGAAGCTGTTCACACGCTCAACCACCGTCCTCTTGATGTAAATGGGTGGATGTGGGCCAGCGTTCCTCCTGAAGTCCACGATGAGCTCCTTAGTCTTCTCAGTGTTGAGCAGCAGGTTGTTGGTGTCACACCATTCAGCAAGACAAACCACCTCCTCCCTATAAGCGGTCTCATCGTTGTATTTGATGAGGCCGATCACTGTGGTGTCATCTCCAAACTTAATGATGGTATTGGAACCATCAACAGGTTTGCAGTCATGGGTGAAGAGGGAGTAGAGGAAGGGACTCATCACACAGCCTTGTGGTACACCGGTGTTAATAGTGATGGTAGATGAGCAGTTAGTTTATCGAGCCGGACATATTGGGGTCGGTTGGTCAGAAAGTCCAGTAACCAGTTGCCCATGAGGGAACTGATGCCCAAGTCTGTGAGTTTTGTGATGAGTTTAGAGGGGATGACTATGTTGAATGCTGAACTAAAATCTATGAACAGCATCCGGGCAAAGGTGTTTTTGTTATCCAAGTGTGAGAGAACAGAGTGCAGCGCTATGGAGACTGCATCCTCTGTGCTCCTGTTCTGGCGGTATGCAAATTGGTGGGGGTCCGGGGTGGGGGGGAGATGGGATTTGAGGTATACTAGGACCAGCTGCTCAAAAACACTTTGCGATGATGGAGGTGAGGGCTACCGGACGGTAGTTGTTGAGTCTTGATGGTTTTGAGTTTTTGGGTATTGGGACGATGGAGTTGGTTTTGAAGCAGGTTGGTACCACAGCACAGGCCAAGGACAGGTTGAATATGTCCATCAGTACTCCTGCCAGCTCCCCAGAACATGCTCTAAGAACATGTCCAGGGATGCCATCAGGACCCGCAGCCTTGTAAACTTTAATCCTGCTCAGCGCCGCTCTTACATCGGTGGGGAAAAGTGTCAGTGGTTGGTGGTCTGGAGACACATCTGCCTTAGTTGTAGTTGTTGGGTTCCCTCTCTCAAAACGAGCATAGAAATTGTTGAGCTCATTGAGGAAGGAAACATCAGAGGAGACGCGGAAGGGGTTGATGGCCCTGTAATCTGTAATGATCTAGAGTCCTTGCCACATATGTCGGGGGTTGGATTTTGAGAAGTGTTCTTCTATCCTCCCCTTGTAGTAGTGTTTGGCCTTTTTGATGCCCCTCTTCAGCTCAGCCCTGGCTGTACTGTAGGCCTGTGTATCCCCTGACCTGAAGGCGATGTTGCGAGCCTTCAGCAGTAGATGAACATCCCGATTCATCCAAGGCTTCTAGTTGGGGTACATATTGATCCGTTTCTGCGTGGTGACACTGTCTATAGTGGTGGAGATTTGGTCCAGCACAGATGAGGCGTACTGTTCCAAGTCTGTGTGAGTGAACATATTCCAATCAGTGTTTTTGAACCGGTCCTGGAGCACAGTGTCTGTCCCCTCTGGCCACACTTTTATTGTCCTCACAGTGGGTTTCACACGTTGGATGAGTGGTGAGTACCAAGGTGTGAGGAAAATAGTGATTGTCCGATTGTCCAATGTGGAAGAGGGGTGTTGCTTTGTATGCTCCAGCCAGGTTGGAGTAAACATGGTCCAAAGTCTTGTCCCCTCTGGTGTGGCAGGAGACATGTTGGTGGAATCTGGGGAGGACTGTCTTCAAATTGGAGTGGTTAAATTCACCAGCAACAATAAAAGCAGCCTCAGGGTGTTTGGTCTGGTGTTTGCTAATGGCTGCATAAAGTTCTTTCATAGCCAGCTTAGCATTAGCATCCGGGGAGATGTACACTGCAGTGAGTATGACGGAAGTGAGTTCTCTGGGGAGGTAATAAGGTCTGCATCTGACCATTATAAACTCCACATTAGGGGAGCATTGTCTCTCAGTAGTAGCAGAGTATGTGCACCAAGCTTTAATATAAATGCACAAACCTCCACCTCTGGTCTTGCCGGAGTCCTCAGTTATCCTGTCGGCTCGGTGTGTGTGTGGCGTCCTGCTAACTCAATAGCATTGTCCGGGCAGCTGTTGTTCATGTTTCAGTGAAAATCATGATGTTTGAGTTCATAATCCACCTGTTGTTGGTGATGGAGAGCCGTATTTCATCCATTTTGTTTGCCAAAGAACGGACATTGGCGAGGAAAATGCTGGGTAAGGGCAGAAGATGTGGTGTAAGTTTTAGCTTAGCCCATAGTCCTCCGTGCTTACCCCACCTTTGTTTACGTTCTCGGCGCCGTCTGCGTGTACTTCCGCCCGGCCTGGAGGAGTAAGCAGCCTCAGGTGTTCTGGAAATCTCTGGGATGAGTCGGAGATCGGCAACAAAACGTTCAGAGTTTTGAGTACAGATTTCCAGAAGCTCCTGCCTCCTGTAGAACAGCAACGCTGAGCAATTCTGGATGAATAGTCCGGTCAAAAGTAGGTAGAAAAACACTAAATAGCATGTTCTGGAGAGATGCTGAGCCTCGTGTTGTTCACGTGCCACCCTCTTGGTTGAAGAAATATATATGAAATCAAGGAAATAAATATATATATAT